AAGGGAACGGGGAAAGGCATAAATGGAAGCAGAGGGGGTCCTGGCTGCATCTTGCTCGGAAAGACAAGCTCCGGGATAAAAGAGGCAAGAAATAGCACTACAGATTTTCTACAGCGACAGTAAAGGCAACTAAGTTGTAAGGAGCAAGGAAAGTACCCCCCTCCAAAAAAAAGCCATATGTAAACAGTTAAGTCATAAAATAAATATGAAGGAAAAGCTAGTTTGCTCTGGAACTGGGAAAAGAATGTAGCTCCATCTTTTAAAATAGTGTGTGCAAGGACGAGAAAATTTATGTCTGCAAAAACAGCATATAAAACTGAGTACTTTAAAAAGGACAGGCCTACATAATTTACACACAAGAAGCTTCAAGGAAATAACTGAAACACAAATGTTGGCTTTTAAATAATCTTAGGAAATTTCTAAAGATCAAAGGACTCTCAACATTAGTATTAAAAAAAAAAAATGCAAAAAGGGAAGATTCAGGAACTACAGAATAATTAGCTTGGCGTGGGTCCTGAACAAAATAATACAATGACAATGGGAAAAATCGAAGCTAAAAATACCCTGTCAGGCAGGCAACCTTCATAAGGGCATAAGAGGAGAACCTGAAGCTTCAACGCCAACAGAGACGACAGCACAACCTACAAACGCTGCTGCTCGGAAAAGCTTTTTCTTCTTTATAGACTAGCTAGCTGTTGTAAGGGGCCCAAATCAAAAAAAGTTACTAGACAAATTCAGTGAAAGACAGTAACTCATAACAACACTCAAGATTCAGAGATAGCTGCTCCGCTGGGAAACAAAGTGCACAAAACATAGGAGCAAAACAGAACTGCTCCTGATAGCAGAGAAAATCTTGGCAAATTCATCTCAGAAATCAGATCTCTAAAATCCTCAATAAAAGTGAGATTTGATTCGAGCTGATAGAGAAAAAAGGCTGGTGGAAGGATTATTGAGAGAGAAATATGGATACAAAACTGCTGCTAGGAATAAAATTAAGCAAAAAAAAAAAACAAACAAAATAAGGTAAAGAATGAAATGGAGGAAAAAACAAAAAGAAAGTCCAAGCTATAGAAAACTGTAAGAGAAAAAAATAAGAAGAATTAGAGGCCTTCCAGACAGTGTAGAGAAGGGAAATCATCTATCAATGTTCAAAGCAGCCCTTCACTCCTGAGTTAAAGTGGAAAGAAATTTAATAACCAAAGCTAGAGAGAGTGTGCACGCATGAGTGCGCCAGATATACTCCTCCAGCTCAAAAAAAAAAAAAAAGAAAAGAAAAAAAAAGAAAAAAACCCATCATACTCGGAACAAAATATTCTGAACAAAAGAAGAACTTTCTGAAAAGAGCTAAAGAGTTCTCCAGTCTTTCTTTAGAAATACATATAATACCTGTTTCAACATTTATCAGATGCTACTTCAAAGAAAAGAAAGACCCTGGATGAACTATGCCTTTTCTTATGGCAGTAAATACACGTGGGGATTTCTCTTCAGACTTGCCCTTTTCCCTATCAAAGCCAACATCACATCATAATGGAGTACGAGGAGTTAAAATTCTGCCCAGAATTCCAGGCCAAATCTGACACAGACAATAACAGGTATCACTTTAACGTAGAATGATAAGCTATTAACCTTGAAAGAGCGAGCCCGGTATCAGGGGGACAAAAGAGAGGGCTGGAGGCCAGGGTCACAGGACTACAGATACGCTACATAAATTCAGTGAGCCTGAACCAAAAGAAAGGAAAAATGCAAGAGGAAGCATCATATAAAGAAAAACAATGCGTGGAGTGAATATTAAAAAAAAAAAAAAAAGAGGAAGAAAAGGTGTACTGTAAGGAAAAAAATTCTGGTAAGGGTAGAGTAAATCTTATCAGTTTAGTATAATATAGCAAGCAACTGTAAAGGCAGGAGAAAGGGGAGAAAATCCTGAAACATGCTGCTGAGTTTCAGGAGTCTTCTCCCTCCTCCTGTCCACGGTGCTAATTTCTGACAAACACAACATATTGCTGCCACTTTACCAGGCTGCACTCAAGAATTGTCCACAGGCAAAGGTAAGGAAGATGCTAATACTTCTTTGGAAGCCTAGAAGGAATTTCTGTATCATGGAAACCTGAAAAATAACCTGAGGAATAACTGTAAGAGCCATTAAGAAACCAAGACGATTAGGGAACAGAAGTAGGTAAATAATACAGAGCAGAATTCAAACTGACTAGCGCGTCCGTTAATAAAGGTAAGTTGGGGCTAGGATGCATAAAAGGAAACAAAAAGAATAATGCATATTAAGACAACCAAAAAGTAAGCTGGATATTAATTTCCTCATGTTGCAAGAAACTCAAGCTGTCTAAATCAACACATTTCCTGTTGCCTGTTGTAGGCAACAATACTCAATGGATTATAAAAATAAGTAGGAGAAGACAGAGAGGAATAAAATCAGATTCTAAAAACAAAAAATATGTTTTAAAGATATAGAGACTTTGCAATGGAAGATACTCCATTGCAAAGGTATATCAACATTTCTATAAATATTACAGAAATTAAAGTACTCATTGGCTCTCTCAGAAGACAAGAAGGTTTTAGACAGACCTAGGATTCTGCAGTTACCCAATTCTCCGCTGAAAAATAAAAGAAAGTCATACAGGGAGGCCATTCCATGACTACACTCCAGGACAGCTGGGCAGAAAGGAAGCAGCAAAGTGAATTTGGTAAATATGTATTCCTTTTGTCTTCCAGGGCAGGCTGGTGGACACTTCCTGAACAGAAATCTAACAACCATCTTGTAATATTCGCAACCATGCTCAACTTTCTCCTTCCTCCCCCTCAACTGAAAAAAAAAAAAAAAAAAGTTTAAGTAGAAAGGAGTTATTTTCATGTTGGAGGAGAGAATGAAAGAAGAGAACTTCACAGAAGTCACACATTTTGTTCTTTCACAAGTCCAGACACCTGTGAATCAAAAAAGGAGACTATTCCAGAAGCTTTTCAAAAGGAAATGATCTGAAACATATTTATGAGATTACCCCTATCCTGATCCACACAGCACATACTCCAAAACGACATGTTTCTTATCTTCAATACTTTGGTAAACCAAGTTGCCCAACACCCATGGGAGTGACCTGCTTACCTATACACACTCGCACATATTATAAGTATTAAGAACATGAGAATGAAAAACAAACATTATTTCTGGACATATTAGTATGTATATGCACTTACACGTGGAGGGGAAGGGTTTCAGTATCACAGACAGTGACTTTGTGCGGAAAACAAAAGTTACACAAATTCGGCTTTTAAAAGAGATGCAACCGCCTATAAGCTAAACAGCAGATCACACGAGACAGTAACTCATCGTAAGTAATGTTAAAACAAAAAATGTCAGAGGAAATGATAGTTTTCTTCCAGTTTGCAAAAAAAGAAAGCGTGTATATGCTATGCGTGTGTGTAGGAGGGAAAGTGAAGTGGGTATACTCCCTCTTTTTATATAAAAGGTGAAACTAGACTAACGTGGTCAGGTCATGGTTCTCAAACTGTGAAGCTGTGCAGTACAACTCCCAGGTCAGGGCACTACACAGTCAATAGCGGAAATGTGCTTATGGAGGGGTAATTGGGTAATCCAAACCCGCAGCTCTGGGAGAAAGCAAGCTAAAAAGGACCGACGAAATCAACTTCATCAGCAGCTGCCATATCGTTCTGCATGCCAAAACCAGTTCCACCACATAAGAAAGCAGTAGGCTCCTGCAAGGACAATTTACATCTCCTCTCTTTCAATCCGATCTCCCACTTTCGGTGGTGCGTGGTACAAGTTTTATGGCTGTAATTCATACGAAAATTTTAGTGTGTGCTTTGTAGGGTGAGGCATATTGTTACTTGGTCAGCCTAAAATATGGGTTCTGTGAAACCACTTTTGGGAGGTAAAGGTATCTCCAAGAGATGGAGGCAGAGAAAGACAGAGAGACAGAGAATATATGTAAACAAATAAATAAAAAGGCCTAGGACAACTCGCTGAGAAGTCTGTATCTGCATTTCAACTTGATGCACCTTTTCTATTAAGAAAAGGTCTAAGACATAGAAAGAAATCAGGAGGCTTTAATTATATGTCCTGATTTTTAAAAGTTGAGGTTAACATTATTATTTATCTAGGCAAAACAAAAAAAATACATAAACACATAAGAAAACAAAAAAACAAAAAACCCTAAAGGTTAGCTTTTGAACAACTAACCATCTGTTGAATGCAAGCTATGCATTTCAGAATAGCAACATTACTCACATCGCTATCACCGAGGGCTTGAGCACCTTATGGCAGATCAAAATGTAGCTTTTCACGCTAGCAGAATTGCTGCTTTCTCGTCTTAAAAGCTAACATTCTATTTGCATACCTCAAAAATGCATAATTAACTTCTTTTTCTGGAGCACAAATACCTATGGGCGACCATGACCAAAATACATAACAACCCTAAATAAGAGATGATTTACATTGTACTCAACACTGTCCAACATCATTTAGCTTCTAGAAGATCCATAACTCTTTATGCGGATTTCAGGTTTAATCTATTTCAACCAGTACAGCAAGAAACGGAATGAGACACAGTATCTAAAACATAATTTACAAAAATAAGCAAATATAAACAAATTCAAGAGATACTTTAAATAAGCACCAAAAAAGATAGCATATTGCCCTGACAGAGTATGAAGCCAAATTCTACTCACCAATTTTCCAAGAGCTCGTTCTGAATATCTTTTTTTTTTTTTTTAAATCACAAGTACTTATTGATTTTGTTTTAACTTAGATAATCAGCATAATAAACACTGGTTAAAGATTAAGGCATACCAACTCACTGAGTGGGCTGGTTTCTGCACAGGCTCCAATAACGTGAAACACGAACTTTACAACATAAAAATAGATCTAATCAATGTGTTAGAATTTTTAATTTTTTGGTCATTGTACTACAAGATAACTAGTTGCGCTCTCTCTTTCTTTTAAATCTTTCCCTTTAATAAAAGCAAAAATTTACCTCTACACAAAAGATCTTCAGATCAAGTCCATATAATTTCATCTTCTCTGGAAAACATTGAAAAACATTCAAATATGGAATGTGACCTTCAACAACAAACCTGCATAAAAAATGAAGAGCAAATCAATATAGTATTTAGCATGACAAAAGCATGCTTATTCTAAAATTACTACATAAAACATATTAATTTCAGATTTGATGCAACACCAACATTAAACTGCACAAGCAATTCTATCTGAAGTTACACAACCCTAAATGTTCCATTACCATGAAAACCAGCTCAATCATTCAGTTCAGTAAGCCTTTAAAATCAAGCTTAGATATGATTGACAAATGATAACATTATAGCACTAAGCTTACAATCAACACACTTACATACACCTTGTTCTGTACATTCGTCATCCATTGCATTTTTGAAATTACTTAAAGCCTCCTTAGAACGGTATGGAATTTTTCTTTCAACATCGAAAGCTTAAAGTCAAATTTTAAAAATTAAACACACACTTTCCTTTAGAGGAGTCAGATAATGGGGTTGGGAAGAAAGTCACAGAATCATCAGCATGGACGCAGAACTGAACCCTCTTAATTAAATTCTGCCTTCTGATGAAAATGTATTCTTTAAGTATAAATAGAAATGATTTTGTATACTAATAAATACAAAATAATTTATTTTGTATTTGCACCCACATAATGCATTTTTAGTTAAAACCTGGCTTTGCTAAGAGACTGGTAGTAATGCTTTAGATTTTTCTTGACTTTTTCATATCTCCATGATGGGATTTAACGACAGCTACTAATAAAAAAAAAAATTACCATTCAAAACCCCTGCTCTTATCTAACATCTTAGATGACATTCGCATCAGGCAAAGCAAGCACTGAACAAGAAGGCATCCTCACAAGGAACTAGACACTACTCTCATTCCAGACTAAAGCATATTAGTGGTCTCCCACAGGATTAAGGTAGAACTGCCTTCCTGTCTCCTCTTCTCCAAAACAGTTTTATTAAAATACTAAATTAAACCAGGAAAAAAAAAATACACTTCAACAGAGAATACCCTGCTCTTTAAATAATGTTACAGATTTGAAAACAACTTTCTCCCCTGCCACCTGTGTCTTCTGCACAGTATCCCTCCAGTCTTGCTATGGAGACTAGCAACTTCTGGACCTACAAACTCTGCATGTCCCTCCTGGGTTCCTCCTGTTTGTAAAGCTTGGTTTTACATCTGCTCCCAAGGTGGGGTGGGATCTAAACACTTGTATCGCTAGTCGGGTCCATAAACAGAAGCACAGAGCTCATTATAAAGCACAGCAGTCAGTCACTTTGATTCAAAACATTTCTGGAGAAAAAAGAACAAAAAATAAGGCAGAACAATGTCTTCACAGTTAAGAGTATCCAAAGTTGAAGAGGATTCATCTCCCTCCTGAGCCTAAGCCAATTTACAAACCCACCTTCTGTTTCTCAGGACAGTATCTTAAGCACGCACTTGCTGCACGTTATTTAGCGTGTATGTGTGAAAGCTGGCTAAGACTCTATTTATAAAGACCAGTTACTGCAAGAGAAGGTTATGCTTACTCCTTAAATTTGTTTGAAAATGTTTTTAACTGGATTTTCCATTTAATTAAAAAAAAAAAAGAATCTGAAGTAGTATTAAAATGAAAAGTACATTCTCACTCAAAACCATTTCTCAACCAGAATTAACCCAGCACTTGCAACGATTTCAACAATCTGAAAAGATCACTTCACCCAAAACCTTTTAGTCTGAAGATCTGCGCATTGGTTTCTTAAATGAAGAGATAAGAAAGGATCTTGTAGTGTCATTTTATCACAAACTCTGAGATGTACATTTTTTGATAATGAAATGTTTACAGTAGCTTTCTCAGTTAGTGTAAACAGCAATTCCCCATCCCAGCTGGAGATGTGCACTGGTTCACCTATTTGGTGAGCTCTCATCCAAAGCCAGCAGCAGTTGCTCGTCTTTGCCATCCTGCCACGTTTGCTAGCTGAGCAGCTTGCATGGCAGCTCCTTAGCTCATTTTAGTCAAGGTCAGTTGTGACAAATGAAAGAATTTAAACTGGAGGTATGCTTTCACAAAATGAATTGAGCCAACCTAAAAGCTTGACATAACTAGGCTTACTTCCCTCTTACCCTCTTCCTGGCATGGCTGTGTGCTCCTGTTACTTACCATCCTCCTCCACAAATCAATTTAATTTGCAAAAGCAGAAGACTACCCTATAGCAAAAAAGAGATGATGCCGTTTCCTGTCATTTTAACAAATTGAATGGGCTCGCAGAAGGGTCTAACAAGTGCTGGAGGTAGCAGAGGGTAGGGGATGCATGGCATAGCCAGGAAGACAGAAGAAAGGGAAGCAAGACCTTTGCCTTTCAGCAGCAGTGAGCCATTACTGGCACAGCTGATTATGAGCTCTGACTGACATACGTTAAAGAGCAATCACATAAACGATTAGGTGTCAGATCTGAAGAGGTGGCACCAAAACACTGAGAGTCACAACCTTCTGAGCCAGCACAGCAACAGCTGGAAGAGGACAAACAACGAGGACCTCAGGGTGGGGTGGTGCTTGCAGCTAAGCCACCCTCCCAGCTAGCTGCTGCTGTGCTGGGAAATCCCAGCCTCCCTTCTATCCTCTGCCACAAACTCTGGTCTCCTCCCTTGCTGACAAAAGCACTTGCGTGACTTCTCAGCCAGAGGATTAGCCTGAAAACTGGCCTTTTGTTTTCCAGGGTTTGTTTTCAACCAGATAAATTTCCGACTCGGCTGACTGCAAGGACACTACCGCTAGCACAAGGTGGAAAGGAACCGCAGCAAAGCGAATTAAACTGCAACATTAGTCTTCTGCAGATATTAGCCTTTTACAATATCAGTTTTCTGCAGATTTACTTCTTTTGACTAATTCACGGAGGCTGGATAAATGCTAGTAGCCAGCGCAAGAGAAAGGGAAGGAATGCTTCCGTGAGACCATAGCGACACAAACACAGATCAGCTTGAACTGAACGCAGAACCACATCCTTACACGGCAAGAGGCAAGCAGTGCCCATAAACCCCCTTAAAAAAGGGAAGTTTTCACTAACTTGACTGTGTCAAGTCAAAGCATTGTAAGTGGTCCAAGAAACCCAGTAACGACATCTTTCCTAGCCTGAAATTACTGTCTCCATACAAAAAAAAGTGCGCTGCTCTCTCAAGTTAAAGTTGGTTTCACGTTCTAAAAAAACACACGAAACGTTATAAATGCTCTGTTTTGAATAAAATGTGCTGATGATTCAGGTTAATGCTTACTCTCAAACTCCCAGATTTGGAATAGCTTTTCAGAACAGTTTCTACCTACTGCTCACTCTCCCAAACCCTCCACTGAACTGACAGATGATCAAAAAACTTCTAACACTATGCGGTATCACTGAAGGACTTAAAAACTTGAAAGACAGATAAAGTACACAGTCCATGTTCTTTTAATTATGGCAGCAGCGTACCTTAGTCAGGTCCCAGTATGAAAAAACCTTAGTCCTATGCATACGACAAGGAAATGATGCACGTATTAAAGCCACACAGCAGTGTCACAAACTGATTACAAGTTTAGTCTTGCCAGCATTGCAAGGTATCACCTCATCTGAACAACAGCATTAGCTCACAGCCCCACAAAGTCCAGCATCTTGAAACCTTTTCCACAAACCAACAATTTTATTTATTATTTAGGTAAATAATATACAGCACACTAAATATCGTCAGTTCATTCACAGTGGGAAAGGATTTAATGCGTTGTGTAGACTTGAGCAGCAGCTTGTTAAAAATATTTGTTTTAAAACAAACCATCCCTTTCAGATGAGCTAATTGTAGTGTTTTCTGCTAAGTGTGTCAAATAGCAAGGAGGAGAATATTTTTGGTGTCGTAAATCCTTTAAAAGCTGGCAGACTGCCCTCCCAGGGTGCCTAAGCATGTATCACAAGGGAGAGGCAGCAGTCAGCTGACTTCAGGCTTGGGAGAACACCAAGCAAACCAAGGTAAAAACAAGGCAGAACTTTAAGCACAACTGTAATTCAGGTGGTTTAAATAAAATAATTTGCCTATAAAGATTTAAGAGGTAATGCTGAATATTTAATATTTTCTCTGCATCGTTTTCATCTCTGGTCTGTTGCTGTTTTGATCTGTGCATTTTAATACATGCAAAAATGTTAACAGTCTCATTTTTAAACTTAACTATTCAGGAGTTAGAAAACAAGAGTTTTAGGGTAGTACATGCAACTTAAAATTCTTCCCCCTTCTTCATCAAACTTGTGAAAGGCACAGACCTCAAAGGTAGGGAGGGAAGCATGATAATGTAATGACAGTCTTCTATAACTATCGTATCATTGTAAAACTTTGCAACACAAATAACATCCTTTTAAACATCACTTTCTGCATTTAATTCAATTCATAAGCTCAGTGCCTTTAAAGCCACTGGCTCATTCTGATTCCCCACAGAGTTTGTCCACTTATACAAGTATTGAACCCATAAATTGTATCTGATCAAACGATATCTTCTAGAGAGGAAGGAGTTCCTTCTAACAGAGGAAAAGAAGGCAAATACACCAATTCCCTTGGTAATTGGCTCTGATATTTAAATTATTCTTAGGGTAAAAGACACGTGCCTTGTTTCTCATTCAAATCATCTTGCCTCAATTTCCAATTATGGGTTTCTGATTATGCCTTTCTCTGCTGGACTTTTAGTACCTGATTTTTATCTCCCTTTTTCAGGTTTTTTTGCTGTTTTCACATTTCCCCTAAATCTTTCTACATAAGCGTGCTGAACTCTGAAGATATCAGTATCAAGGAAGTTCTCCAGGTTCTAAATCATCTTTTTTTGCACTCTCCAATCCTAAAATGCTGAATGCAACAATATACCATTTAATATGCAATGAACACAAGCCTTCTAATTATTGGCCTGTTCCTATAACTGTGGACTTTGAGACTATTGTGCTGTGTTTTTTTTTGTTTTTTTTTTTAAAAAAAGGGTAAGACAGGAGTTCCTGAACGTGTACTTGCATAGTATGACCCCTAAATGCTTTCCAGAGACAGTTTAGTTTCCAAGGTACAGTAATCCAAGAACAGGATATTAAATTATGCATTTTGTGTACCATTTGCCCTGCCCAATAACTGTCATTTATTACTTCAATTTTTGCCATATACAAACATTATCAGACATGATTTATTTATTTCCTAATAATTGATAAAATACAAAGTAGGCTATGACAGCTCCAATTCCTGCATTCCTGAGGATGTATTAATCAGCAATAAATCTTGTCCTAGTAAACTACTGTTGAGTTCTAGTATTTCTTCATCTGCTCAATATCTACTTTTGTATCGCAGGGTGCTAGTTTGAACTTCAAATGCTCCAGCATTTTAGGCCAAACATTTTACAAGTACCGTTTATACAACAACAGCATATCCAAATATGCAACACTGCAATTCTGATTGATGAAGGTAACAGCAGCGCCCTACAGTTAAATCAAAGGGTTAAAAATGTTTTTTTTTCATAGAAATAAGTTAGCTAGCATTAACTGCTGTACTTAAGACATACAAACCTCCCTGTTCTTAAAAGTACTTGGAAAAAGAGGGGCCTTCAATACCCACTATTCTCAGAAAACTTACACAAAGTTGTAATTAGAGAAAAGGGGGAGGAGGAGGAGGAAACGGGGCTCCAGAGGCAGAGAGGTCTTCAAGGAAGATCAGGCTTGGGGTAAACTTCCCTTATATGAGCCAAACATTCAGCAGCAATACCAGTTATATGCATCATGGGGTGGGGGCATGTCCTTGTTGCCTTGTTTTTTTTCATCTTTAGTTGTTTTAGAAAGAACCGAATTCTGCCATATCAACTCAATCTTGAATCAGTGTTTCCTTTATTTTGTCCAAGTCTGACATTCAGACTGTAACCAACAGTTAAAAGTTACTTAAGTCTTCCAGTTCCTTAAATTTGGGGGGGGGGAAACAAAACAAAAAAAAAAATTTCCCCATCTTTTAGAACTATCCAGTATTTCAACACTTGTTAAAAGGGAGTATCATTATTCAGAAGGTCTCAAAAAGCAGTTGCACAAATTCTTCTGTCACAGAAAACATAACTAACTACAGTTAGCAACTATCTATCTCACTATTACTGTGCATATTAGTAAGAGGGCAAAGATAAAGATCAAATTTTAAACGAAGCTTATTATTTATAAAAGCAACAAATATTTCACTAGGGACTATTCATACCTTAAGAGATCAGATAACGTCATTGGTTCTCTCAGCCAGAGTAATGCCATGTAACAAAATGAAAGGGTCATTGGCATTGACATCCTCAGTTTGTCCTTTTGGTTCTTCATTAAATGCAAGCTACCATCTACTGATCCAGAGCAGACGGAGGTGCTTTCTTTGGTTTATTATAAAAAGAAAAGAAAAAAGGTGTTTGATATAATATACATATGATACATGCTATGCAGAAAATAATATAAAGAAACATACACAGAAGCTTGCTTAGCCAGTTGTAAAATTTTCAAATCACTACTTTGGGTTAGTGTGTTAAATAGCTTAACTTTCAAATTTGTTCTTCTACCAAGATATAAGACGACGAATTCATGAACTGCTACCTCGCTTAACTAGGATCCTGGATTATATGAAGAAGCGAAACTCACTCTGGAACCCATCAAAACAGATCTTTCAGGGGGACCTGCACGTTACCTTGGAATTCCAGAAAGCTGTTAATTCCTATAAAACACATAACCTACAGCAGGTATGAGCTGCAAATACTATTTTCTATTTGAGGAACAAGGAGATAAAGAGGGATATACCTAAATTAACACCTCAGAGTTGAGGATTAAAACACAGAATGTAATAGTTCCCAAGTACTGAGTTTTAAACTTTAGCACAGTAAGAACCTAAAGAGAGCATGATTTACACTGCAGAAATTTTATTGCAGTAAGGATACTGTATATCCACCTGCCATATATTCTCTAACCACAGAAAAGTATGTATTGTTTTAAAAAAGTTGAAATTCAAAGAGAACAAAACACCTTCAAAATACAAATGCAGCAAATTGTAAAGAGAGTGAAAAGAAAAAAAACTAGCCTATTTTCTTACTGAGATGAATCGCTAAAAACTGAGAAAAGCAGAAACAAGAAGTTTAGTATAGGGGGGTGATTCCTGAGTTAGAAACCTTTTCAGCAGCGAAACCTGGGAGGTCAGGGAAGGAAGGAAGGAAGAAGTCTCTCTTCCCTACATCATGAACCAGGACAAATGACAACATTTTGTATATAAAGCACACGAGTGCCAAATATCAGCATTGATTCTGCAGAGGATTTCTCACTCTGTTTAACCAGTGACTGTTCACCTGTTAAACCAGGAGCATGGAGGGCCAATTCCCCAGCTGGGATCTGCAGCCCACAAAAAAAGCTGCAGCTCACAGAGCCTGGCAGGTCCGTGGTTGTGCTGGGAGCTCCTGGCTTCGTGGTTAAGAGATCTGGCATCCACTGGCACCCACTATGAAGACACAGCTATAAATATTGCCTTCCTGAGCCACAATTGGTCTTTGATGCCACCTACCGGCTTCAAAAGCACTGGTCAGTAGGGACACTGCAAGAGATTAAAGGCACCATCTCAACCGTACACGTGGTATAGACTATGAGAGCATCCCAGAACAACCGCTCCTGTCTATAGGGGTGCTGGGAGAATAAAAGCAGTTAATCCGCTCCGTCAACAGTTTCACCTCTTATATGTACACATGTGCTTAAAGGCAACTTCATGAATGAAGCTTCCTGATTATAATTCCACATTTGACCCAGTTTAAAATAATCCTCATTATATTTGTGGCCTCAATGATGGCACGCAATTTCACTTACTTCTTCCAGCTTATTCAAGGCGTGACAACACAGAAATACACACGTCTAATGATTTCAGTTGTTTCATAGGCTTCTCTAGCAGTATCTCCATGCTATACTCAGTGGAATTTGCTATCATCACTACCCAAAAATAACAAAAAATGATTGCACAGTAGACAAGCCTCTTCACAGGGGGGAAAAAAAAAAGGAGGGTGTTAAGGTTTCCTGTGTGTAGCAATAACAACTCAGTAAAAACGGCACAGAAGAGATCTATGAATCTTCACAATAATTTACGGTTGACTGAAACATCAATCTAGAATTACTTGTGTCAAATTTCACTATATAACACAATTGCTATGTTTGTCTAATTTCTCCAAAATGCACTTTCAGTTTGACTGAGCTCTTATCCATTTCAAGGGCTTTTAGTGAAATAGGTATGACTACTTAAAGCTGAATTCAATCTCTGAAACAAGAGACTAAGAAAAAAGTATCAAATTACTTCCTATCTAAAGACTACCTCTCTACTCTAAAACTCTTAGAAACACAACTATAAGATGCAAACAAGCACCAAGGAAGAAAGGAGTTGCTATAGACTTCAAAAAGGGAAAAGAAAAAAATCAGTGGAATAGTTTCACTAATTTTTTTTACTACATTCTTTCTCCTTGATATAATATATACTTGCATAATACCCAAGTACTGATTATGTATATGAGCACGCAGCAATCCTTCACCAGAAAATCTTTTCATTTTAGTAGAATAATATAAGGATGAAAAGCGCTTGCATCATGTTCATAGAAATTTGTGTCTCCATTTTTGAACCTTTTTCCTCACTCCAAATAGGAGGCATGGAGCAATCTTGTTATAAAACAGAACTTCCTCCTGCATTTCCCATTGGATTTGCAGGTCCTGTTCAACAACTATCTCCTTGGGGTGGGGGGGGAAGGTGTCTTCTACTTCGGGTAGCATATAAAGTACTCTAGTGGCAAGTAGGACTGAAAACTCTACACTTTCCAACAACAGGTCAACAAATTCTTCCAATGCATATTATATGAATACATTTAAAATATATATAACTACACAAAAGTGATTTCTAGATATTTCATCTCATTGCTCCTACCTGAGACTTTGCCAGTTGATGAGCCAAAGCTGCAATCAGTCAATAGATCTCCATCACTTTCAGAGAAAGATAACAAGTGAAGAAGGCTAGGTCTCTCTGGTTCACTATCCACATCCGTACTGCTATCGCATCCCTGTTTTGTGTAAATATGTCATAGTATTATCTAGTGTTATTGGCTGTTTTAATCTGAAGAAGCCAAGTACTGTACCTCTAAGATCAACAGTCAATGAAGTTTAAATCGGAACTGTTCATGCTTTTACTTGCCCTATCAACCACCAATAGGTAAAGAAATCCTGCAAAATACATTCTTATTTTTAAACGATTTCTCAAGGTGAGAAAGATCCCTAGTGTTCATGTCGCACTCCAATCTGCTATAGTCACCTGAAAGCAGACAATATATAGAATCAAATATTGACGAAAAAACAAGGAGTAAGTTGAGGAGAGTGGAGAGTGGGGATAAACAATGATAGTTGATGACAGCTTTTGTATTACAATTTCTGCTCCATCTATTCAGAGGGCAGTACTGTCTACCTATGCCAGAACAAAGCAGTATTTTTAAAATAAGCAATTTTCCATATTCAGAGAAGTATCTTTTTTCTTAAAAATGGGAAAAAATAAAATAGATACTTGGAATCCAGTTTAAAAGACATACGGGAGCGACATTAGTGCAAGTTAGATATATAGCTTGAACAAAGATTTCTGTTGTCGCTGTTTAAAAAACACGCAACTGCTCACAGGATTTGAGCTTTTCACTTACTGATAATACTTTGATAGCTTCTCCAGCTGGTCTGTTACAATACGCTTGTTGACTCTTCTGAAGATAGCGCCTCCAAAAATTGCACAGAATTTCATCCTGATAAATGTAAGTAGACAGTGATTAGTCCAAAGTATACAAGTTCATTAATTTCTGAGAGAACAGATTATAATTTACAATTCAGGAATCTGAAAAATGTTCTGGCTTCAATTTTATTAACTGCGATTTGCAAACTCTGTTTAAAGTTACCAGGGAAACTAAGTTTGTTTTCATATGCTTAAAGTTTTTAAACAGGGAGTTACTTGACCCACTTTAAAAATCACAGTCTTTTAAAATAACGCTCGCTGTTACACACTCACAGTGTGTAGATCTTACCCTGAAGTCTACATACCTTCATTTGTGGACACGCTCCTAATGCTTCCAAAGCTTCTGCTTGTTTCTTGAGTACAAACTGAAAGCCTTCACAAACATACCATTCCCAGCCTTCATCTAAGAAAGAGAAGCCAAATTTGTTTGGTTGATCGGTTTTTAATATTTTGTTGTCTTAGTACTAGGACTAAGAGGTAGCTCTGTATTTAATAATTTCAGATCCTTGGAGCAAAGTCCAGCTATGTTAAATAGGCTAAATGATCTTAAATAAAACTACTGAACAAGAGCTGTTCTCCACACATTTCCCAAGAATAACATATTTCACTATAATTTCTAACGTGGCACTTGTAATCCAGTGGAGAGTAGTTACGTGACTAGCTTTAAAATTACTGAAAAACTGTCATAGAAAAAGGAAATATTATCATTTCTCTCCCATCCCCAGCACAGAAAACTGGAACACATCACAGTGGCGAGTCAGGCAAAAAACAAGCAATATCACCGTGTTCTTCACCATTCTCTCCCACAGAATTATACACATTTAAATAAACGAAACCTGTTCTGACATTCCGAGCTTCTAGCAAAGCTCGGAACAACATGAATCCCATATAGAACGGGCCTGCTCCAGTCTACTCATTAGCACCTCAGACTGTGTTGCATGTACTCTCCACCTTTAGCTCTCCATATATACAGCTCCTTTCTACAGGCTTTTTGGTCTTACAAGTTTTCTCTGCGTTTCTCAACTTTCTTTTCCTTCCCATCACACCTATACTTCATTATGTTTCCTTCCAACTGACTATTAGATAATAAAACATCCTCTTTCTTTACCATGTATCGCAAACGTCTGCTTTACTAACTCCACTTGGACCTCACTATCTTAAAGCTTATCTGCCCAAAGTTTCTGTTGTGCTTTAATACTGTTGGCTTTAAGTGTTTACTGTAAATCTTGCTTACTCCTATGCATGTAGGAAAATAAGCTGTGAGAGTATAATGTAACTGCACTCACAGAAGGGACTGCATGAAGCTAAGGATTTCTTTTGTAGGAAGCCTAAGGGATGGCTAATGACATCTCTAACAGAGAAGTAAAAAAGCAAGAAATAGTAGAAGGCTCAGACTTTAGGAGCAAGACAGGATAAAAACAGGTGGAGCTGTTAAGGTTGTTCTCCTTTTCACTCCTTCCTTCACTTCCCCACAGTTGTTCTTTCCAAAGGAACGCAGTATTCTACCGTCACCACAGTACAGTGAAGATATGTCAGCATACCACAGAGACAAAGGTATCCCCACGTTTTATTTACCATTGTAATTTATTTTTGCTTTTTCGAGGGAAGTGACCACAGCACTAAAACATCTATCCAGCCATCTCAATATATGTAGTTTCAGAAGCAGCCTTACCGTAACATCCTTACGGCATATTATCATATGTAATCACTACTATTCTTCTTAATCATGAAATAAAAAGCATGGAAGTGACTCTGGATGAAAGAAGTAACATTTAGCTACTATAACTACATGAAAGCTCTTTCATGTAGGCTTATGCATTGGCTACAGCGCCAAGTACCTGTAACACAAGCCAGACATACTCTAAGAGCCAGACCACTGTTATACCTCACCTATGAGCACAGACAACTTTCCTGTTTACAGTCATCGCAAGGAAGAATTAAAGCCATCACCACAACTGAATGAATGCCACAGATATCTTCAATGACTATGGGCTCACACAAATCAAAATGATGAAAGGTATCATATAGTTATGTTCAATGGAAAAAACACCACCAAGTTCCCAGAGGTCATCTGCCACTCAGGAAGACACTGAAGTTGGACTGCTGAAGGTGATGGCAGCGTTTAGGGGGATGTACTATGTTTCTGTTCTTACAGTCTTTCCTGGCTATCTACTTTTGGCTAAGAGATAACCTGCGAGGTGAACCTTCGATCTGACCCACTACAGCCATTCTTATGCAAAACAGAGAGAAGTATATACATACCAGTTTTTTCCTGCTTTCTTAAACCTTTGGAGATGGTCTGGACTCTTGTGTTAGAAATAACATCAGTATTTACAACTTCTCTAGTTCTCTGCAAAACAGTAACGTATCTCAGCAAGGAAAAGGCCAGGCCTAACGTGCACAGTCTGCCCCATCATACAACAACGGAGGAACTTGTTAAGATATGAAAATCTAAAACCAGAGAAGTTCCCAAGACATTCTGAACCTTCTATTCAGGAAAAGCAAAAATGGAGAGCTACCATCCCAGACAGACAAGTGACGTGCATCAGGGTTTGTCTACACGAGCACTGCTGCAAAGCGCAGCAATACCCATGCACCACTTCTCATGCATCTACAGCGCACAGTGGCACCCGAGCTACAGTAACACACTGCTTTAAGCTAGCACTTTTAAAGGTTGTGAGTTTTCTGAATTAGTTGCTATAAATTATGATTTGAAGGAACAGTACTTCTAAATAGCATTAAGTAAAGCATGACAGTGGGACGTTGGCAATACTGCCTTCAATTTTTAATGCCAAGGAGAAAATCTAACATTTTCTCAAAACCAAGAAACAACGAAACAGAAATACCCTTCCCAAAGACAGCAGCTTTTTACCTCTATAACATTGTGGCAAGTTCTGCAATAAAATCTGCCGCCATCAGTGACTCCCCAGTTTACTTCTGAACACTGTACGCAGCGTTCATGATAATCTTCCTAAAAGGAAAAAAAAAAAAAAAAGAGTTTCATATATGTTCAAGTTGAACCAATAACACTATTACCGGGCTACTGCACAGCTTTTGAGATTATTTACAGAACAGAATATTTCTGCCCCCTTATGTTAGCTGTAACCATATAACAAGTACTCATAGCTTTCGCTATCAGCTACAGATAAGAGAACAAATAACTTCTTTAGCTGACAAACATCAGCTTTGGTGTACGCGAGCATAAGGGGAATAACAACCTACACCTAAAACATATGACGTTAAAAAAGATCAGAACTAGAAGAGACAAGAGGAGGCGGGAGATGAAAGTAGCATGTTTCCAGAAGAGCAAGACGGGCGTGCAAGGGAAGACGGCGTGCACAAGTAAGGGCAGAGACATACCCAGGAAAAGGGGAGACTACTCAGAGAAACGATGCTCTCCCGAACGTCGGGAGGAGAAAAGAGGGAAGCCAACAGGACAAACGTTTGCTAAAAGCACCCTAGGCAAGCGGCTTCGGGAAGGGGCAGCTGATTCCGGGGCCGGGGGCCTGGGGAACGGCTCTG